ATTGCTTTGGCTATTCTGGGTCTATTATTTTTTCAAATGAATTTCATGTCTGCGTTTTTTATTTCTATGAAAAATATAATTGGAACCTTAATAGAAATGGCATTAAATCCATATAACGCTTCTGGTAGCATGGCCATCCTTGACAATATTAATTCTGCCTATCCAAGAATATGGGAGATCTTTCCATCTTCTAAGGTCTTCTTCAGTTTTTTTCTTTCATGTTCTTTAGTTCTCATTATAGAGGTCTTTTACCTCTTTTGTTAGATTGATTTCCAATTTTTTTTGAGACTATTGTGAATGGGATAGTTTTTCTAATTTCTCTTTCAGTTGATTCATCACTGGTATAAAGGAACACAAGTAGACCAGAGACCCTGTGCCTACTAGAAGAAAAAGTAGGGCCAAATCTTCATCACGTCGGCTTAGGAACAGAATTCCTTAACAAGACTCCCAAAGCAGAAGAAGTAAAATCAAGAGTAAATAAATGATATGATATCAAACTAAAAAGCTTCTTCACAGGAAAAAACCAATCAAGAATGTGAAGAGAGACCCTACAGAATATGAGAAAATATTTACCACCTGCATCTCAAATAGAGCARTARTCTCCAGGATACATAAATAACTCAGACAACTTAACACCAGAAAAACAAATAACCCAATCGATAAATGGGCTAAGGCATGGAAAGAATGGAGGAACTTTAGATAGAGAAAAGGGGGAGAAGGGAAAGGAGGGAAGAAGTGGRTAGGAATGATGATGGAATGAGTTAGACATCATTGCCCTAWATATATGTATGAAGACACAAATGGTGTGAAAATACTTTGTGTACCATCAGTGACTTGAAAAATTGTGCTCTATATGTGTAATATGAAATGAATTACATTCTACCATTGTGTATAACAAATTAGAATAAATAAATAATTTAATAAATAAATAAATGGGCTAAGGAACTGAACAGACACTTCATAGAAGAAGAAATATGAATGGTCAATAAATGTATGAAAAAAAATGTTCAACATCCCTAGCAATTAAAGAAATGCAAATTAAAACTACACTGAGATTTCATCTCACTCCAATCAGAATGGCAATTATCAAGAATACAAGCAACAATAAAGTTTGGTACAGATGTGGAGGAAAAGGTCCATTCATACACTGCTGATGGGACTGCAAATTGTGTAACCATTMTGGAAAGCAGTATGGAGATTCTTCAGAAAACTTGAAATAGAACTGCCATTTGACCCAGTTATCCCACTCCTCAGCATATACCCTATGGACTTAAAAATCAGCTTACTRTAGAGATGTGGCCACATCAAGGTTATAGTAGTTCAATTCACAATAGCTAAGCTATGGAACCAACCTGGGTGCCCTTTAATGGGTGAATGGAAAAAGAAAATGTGGTATATATACCCAGTGGAATATTACTCAGCCATAAAGAAAAAGGGAAAGATGGTATAATGGATTGGACATAACTTTCCTGTGTTCATATATGTACATGACCAATGTAACTGTACATCATGTACAACCACAAAATGGAAATATATACTACATGTATGTATGTCAAAATACATTCTACTGTCAAGTATAACTAAAAACAACAAATAAAAATTAAAAAAATTAACCACTAAAAAATAATCTATGGCAAACTACTAAGAATACATTAATATTAGATAATTTTAGTATTTTTTTCCAGAGGTTTTTTTTTTTCAAATTAAACTATATTTATTTAAGCAATGTAGTTTTCTTCTTAGTATTTGTATATTAAATGTGACATTGATTAGAGACAGATGTATTCAGGAATTCATGATTTTACTCTTTATGATTTTTCATGCTTCTGATAGAATTTATTGTACATTATTAAGAGCATACTCATGAATACTCATGTACTTCTCAGAAATAAGTTCTTATGGAAKAATTTGTTCAATATATTTTAATATAGTCATTTCAGTTACTGTTAACATTCCAAAAACATCATCTGTTAAAATGGATATTGGCATGTATTTTAATATTCTTTTTATTTRGTAATGCTATTTACAAACTAATGAGCACAAGATTCTGTAGCATAGTTTTACATAACTAATGATACATGCCAAATCCATTATTCATAATAAAATTACCAGGTAATCAACATACTTCTAGACTCTATGTTTGTATGCTCAGTGACAAAGGTTCTGTAGTGACCCAAGCTACCTTTTATTTTGACCTCTTTGCTTCTAACTGCATGAATACACCAGGGTGAACCATAACGGCCATAGGAACAAGCTGCTGCTAACCTTAAACAATGTTCTTTTAAAAGCAAGGGCATATATATCAAGAGAACCTTAAAGCTTATGTCATGGGAGTTATTTCAGTTGCTTGTCAATAGGATTATAAAGAAATGTTCTCATGACTATTTTTATGTAGGTTGGGTTGATAGACATTTATGGCACACTTGTCTTCTGCAGTTTAAAGATCTTATGTTATCGATATTAGATTTAATTAACAAATGTGGAAGTAAATTATTCAGGTTTTACATAAAGATAAGAGTTTGCTAACAATGAAATTTTAGAATTCTTTTTTCTTTTAGAAAAATAGTACATAAAATACATAAAATTGAAATATTTACTAAGAATTCAGCTGACTGCATCTGATAAATATAAAAGTAGACTTTTAGGATCCAGAAAAATCTGGTTTTGTGGGCATAAAAGGAAGCATGTAGAGAATTTGACATTTAGATATACACAATGCTACAAAAAAAAAGATAATTTGAGCTCTCTAAAAGGAGGTCTTTTAACTAAAGTCTAAATATAAAATCAAAGATTTGCCATCAGATGGTAAATCTGAAGGTGGTAGCAGTGAAAATGTAAAAATTTAAAATCAGGAAGCAACATATAATCAGTAGGTATTCTTAAACTTATGACATCCTACACTAACTCATGCTAATTTATTTTAACATTTTAAAACAATGACATCTTGGTTTATAAAAGAATATATAATTTCAAATTAAGTGTAACAATTTGCATACACTCTAATTGTATCTTCAGTCTATTTTAGACTGACTAAGAATTGCACTTTATGTATCATAAAGTTCTGAATTTCATCAYGCTTAGTTTGAATAGTTAATTTTGCAGCAGTATAACTTTATAGAACCTGAAGATTCCAGAGCCAATCTCATATTTAACCATGAATTTATCATTTTCATGTGATTAGTATCTGGTAAGACCAATATACTAATTTTTATGTTATTGTCAATTAGTAATGTAATATCACGGATCCACACTTCTGAAATCTAAAACCTGGCTCTGCTACTGGGTGATTTTGGTAAAAATACTTAATTTCTATGTGCCTTGGCTTTCTTATCTGTAAAATGAGAATTATAATAGGCTTTATTTATACATTTGTTGTAAGAATGAAAGTTAATACATGCATTATATTTTGTTATATAAAGATTAAATAAATAATAATTTAATTAAAATATAATGTGATATATGTCACGTTATACATATAATACATATACATGTGTGTTTGCATGCATAGGAGCACCTTGTATATAGGAAATGTTACCAATTTGTAATGCTTATTTTTTTTTGTACTTGAAAATTAAAACAAAAAAGCATGCTGGAAATATTTTAGAAATACTAGCATTCTGCAAATTTTATGTACATATCCAAAGCTTCTCCAAATTAAAAGTTCTTGTTATCTATTTTCCTCACCCATTCATTGCTMTTTGTCAATGTTGATATGGTTTACATCCTAGAAGACAGTCGGATTCCAAGGTGAAACCTTGGAAAGGTCAGCTCTAGAAATGTGGATTGAGCATCACCCCCCAAAGGGAGAGGAATTGAGATTAGGTGTGCTCATCTGTATCCCCCACAGCATCTCGTCTTGTCTGGTGTCAACCATTTGACATCCAGGAAAGGTTGGTTGAGCAAACAGATGTCACCCTTCTTTCTAAGGGATTAAATGCCTCCTCTCTCTGGCCTTCATGTCTTTAAACCTCTAATTAAAGCTTTCCTGAACCCTGTTCTTTYCCTTCTTCATTAGTCTTCTCTTGTTGCATAACAATTACCACAGACTTGGCAGTTTAAAGTACCACACATTTATTGTCTCCACATGTTCATGGGTCAGGAGTCATGCACAGCATAGCTGCATCTGCTCAGAGTCCCACAGGCTACAAGATGCTAGCGGACTGCATCCGCATCCGCATTCTCTTCAAGGGACTTCAACCTACTTTTGAATTTGTCTGCAGTGCTAGCAGAATCCATTCCTTGTGGCTGTAAGACAAGACCCAGATTCCTAWTGGATATTGGCTGGAGGCAGCTCTCCACTGCTGAAAGAAACCAGTTCCCTGCCTTTGACTACCTTCACAGATGGTTCACAGCATGCTGGTGCTRGGAGAGCCTCAGCTAGGATGGAGTGATTTAAGGCAACAGGATCACACTGTGACACCCCACCACGGTTTCATATTCTGTTAGCTTGAAGCAAGTCACAGGATCTGCCCACACTCTACAGAAACAAAAGTGTGGATTCCAGGAGGTGGGAATTTCTGTAGATTCTCCCAACTCTCCATTTGAGTTAAGTATCTATAATGCCTCATATTTATAGCTCTACCTTAATATTGCTGTGTAACCCACTATATACTTACGCCTTTGTCTGTGTCTACCTCTATGTCTCTCTGTCTCCCTCTACACGTAGAGCTTGACATTTATCTGGACTTAGCAAACTTTTATTTTTAACAGCTTTGTTGAGAGACAATTAATCAGTGAACTTTCAGTAAGTGAATGAGAGTAAACATAGGGATGAAGTGGTGCAAACTTTAAAGTATTTGGTAATAATTTTTATAGGAATAGTTCCATGTGATAATGTATTTAGAATTGTGCCAACCCTGAAAGAAAATAATTGTTCCAATGAATTAGAAGATAAAATGGTTTTATGATTAGTTCTAGAGCTGTATACCTTGGACTTTTTTCATAGTATAAATCCATGATACTTTATGCTATCTAACCAAATTCTTTTTTTTTTCTTTTAGATGAGCAAGAAATTGTACAAAAGCGTACTTTCACAAAATGGATCAACTCTCATCTGGCCAAGGTAAGGGAGACAACCCAGAGTTACAGGTTTGCATAGTTTCAGCCAAAAAGTCATGAAGTGCACAATGTGGAGGGATGCTGCTGTTGTTTTTGTCACCATTACTGATCAATGACATTGGCCATCCTATTCACTGGTTTAATTGTCACCTAAATGAGACGTTTACAGACTTTGCCTCTGGAAAGAAATGGACTGACAGCCAGTCAAGAGCAGTTACTTCATGTCAATCCCATGGATCTTGCTCAAATATTTCACTGTTATTACTTCTATCTTAATTGTCAGATTTTTTGCTCAGATGTGCTTATGTCTGTTTGGAACAGGAAGAAAGAATAAGTGGTCTGTGCTGAGCAAAGAGGTTTATCTGAGGAGGTGAGGACAGTGCCCCTCCCAGGTGCTTTGATGAAAAATAATCCTGGAAGCAAGACACTGGAAAGACTGGCATTTTTCCAAGATTGTCCATATTAGGTTGTGCCAGGTGATCTTAGTCTTTCTATTGTGCATTCTAATGTCTTTGCACATAACTACGATATAAAATAAATTTTAATCTTAGTTTATTGTAATAAAATCAACATCTTAYGCTGCTGATGGGAAAACAAGTAAAACAAGAAKCATTGTGTKTGTCAAAATAAATTTAGATGATTGGATAATTTGATTCAGCTACTAGAACCTTTTGTGGCTACTAGAACCTTTTGAGGGTTTTTAATCAGAGATCTGCTATGGTTTATACGTGAAATGTCACCCAAAGACCCACATGTTAAAGGCTGAGTCCCTACCTTGGCAGTATCAATAGGTGGTGGGACCGCAAGAGGTGGAACACAATGAGTGGGTGGTCTTTCAGTCACAGAAGACATGCTCTCTAAGGGGTTTGTGGGACCCCAGCCCCTCCTCTTTTCTCAGCCTGGACATAAGGTGAACGGCTTTGCTCTTCCACATGCCCCTCCCCATGATGTGCTGCCTTGCCAAATCAATGGGCTGACTGTCCATGGGCTGAAACCTCAAAACCCTGAACCAAAGTAAATCTCAACAACAGAGTGAATGAATACATCCCTGAAGTCCCCTTCCCTCCCTTTTTTTATACCTCAATAGCAAACAAAGTGTGGCAGTTGATTTTAATCCCTTTCTACAGATTAACTGTGTACCTGTGTCTCTGCTAGGTTTTAGGGAAAGGAGAATATAGTRGAAAATGTTCCCAGGACTTGAGAAGCTCACAATCCAGCAATAAAGGACTGGACCAACGTGTCTAGGTGCAGGRTAAATTGGGATCACCTTTCCTAAAATCTCTTTCCAAAAGCTACTTTGATGAGAGGAGAATTCTCTGRTCCAGTGGTTGCACCTAGAATCCGTCCTGTTCCTCCTTCCTTTCTACTCTGTGACTGCAGAAGGCCTGAGAACTCTRGGGCCTCATTTCCTCAAGCCTGTTGACAGCCAGACTCTACTTAACTACAGAATTGGCAACTCTCAGGGAAGATTTTTCTTTCCAAAATGAAAATAAAGTTATTGTTTCTCATACTGTAAAAAGGCTACATGCTAACTGTAAGTAATATTAATAATGCATCTCTTAGAAAGTGTAAAGTTGAAGTGACCTTAGATTACACAGCCCAGTTAGATGTATGACTCAAATATTATTTGCCATTTTTCTTTTGATAGTGTACCTCTTCACRTGCCTAAAAGATTCTAATCTAGAAAAGAACCCGAAGTCCCTGTGTTTCCCCAACATTACACACTTGGGCATGAATGATATCATTTTGAAATGCCCAGAAAATTAATGTATCCATAAAAACCTATWATAAACTTAATATAACAGAGACAGTTTTTGGTTATTTTTAATCCTCTGTACTTGTCATTTCTTTTCTTCTTGGGCCACTTTGAAAACTAAACAGCAAAATAGAACAATACGTGAACTTTTTCTCCTGAACTTATTTATGCCAATGTTATAGTGTTTCATTAAACATAGCCCAAACCTAAGAAAGCATAGGATGATATTTTAGTTTTCTGACTCCTTATATTTGGAAAACTTTCTGAAATGAGATCTGGCCCCAGTTCCCTGCTGTGGTAATTGAAAACTCAAGGAGAGCTGTAGGGTTGGTGTGTCTGTGTTTGTCTCGGCMGCTGACCACATATTGCCACTCATCTGTCCCCATCCTTTGCCCTCCTTGTTCCCACTTGAGGTCCTGTTTACAGCTCTCTCTCTCTCCCTCTCCCTCTCCCCCCCCTCTCTCAATCTCCCTGTCACCTCTCTTCCATCCCATTTCAGTTGTCCCTTCCATGCCATCTCCTCTGCCACCGCACCTGCAGCCCAGCCCAGTCCCTTTTCCATCTCTATCTCAGTCTCCCCGTCCCTATCTTTACCCTATTCCATCTCTGTTTTATTTGTGTACTAGTCCTATAAMAACACATTTAGTCTGAAAATCCAAAACTTCACAGTGTCATTGAGGTTGTATTTACGTATGTCCTCAAGTTAAAAGCGAGGCAAACACTTCCCTCCCCATTACGGGTCCTCACTTACTTCAAGGAATTCTAAGAATGAGAATACCTCACCTAGGACAAAAGCAGTCACTTTCATATGTGATCTGACCTCTGGACCTTGTGTCACTTTTCCTGATGCTTTGTGAGAAGGCTTGTTGCCAACACCACTCGGGGTGCTAGAGCATGCTTGGACCCTTCACTTTAGCATACATGGACAGTTGCACTAACCACACATGCACACACACACACACACACACACACACACACACATACACACACACACATACACACAGTCAGATAATTCCTTCAGGAACATGTGTCCAGGGTCTTACTAAATCTGTCAAGGATATAGCTTCTTAAATTTGGGGTTCTTGTCTCTTGATCATCAGCAACACCCTGAAATCTCCCCCAAACAATAGGTTCTCAGTCACAGAGCAGGCCCAAAGMTATGTTTCAGAACATTTGTCTTTAGAAAAAATAATCCACAAAGAAGAAGCTTGACTCATCTGAAAGTCTTTCCTGATCTTCCAGAGCTTTTTGGAGTCATGTTTCCCTTTTCTTGCTTGTTGAGTAACCAAAGCTGTTGGCTTTTAGTGGACCTGGGATGCCAGGTTGAGGATCAGGTTGATTCTGCTCTGGTGTGTTTTTCCTGCATTGCTAGTTCTTCATTGTCTAGTAATGACTCAGCCTGTTGGGCCAGTGAATTTGGGTCCTGCTTAGTCAATTCAACCTGTTGTAACAAAATACCAGAGGCTGGGTGGCTTAAACAGCAGACACTTACTCCTTACATTTCTGGAGGCTGGGAAGTCCAAAATGAAGGCACCAACAGATTTGGATTTTGATGAAGGCTATTTCTCTTGTYCCTGTGTGTCACATGGCAGCAGGAAAGAGCTATGGTCTCTCTTCATCTTCCTACAAGGCCACTAATAAATCACACCATGGGCCCCGACATTTGTGGCTTCACCTAAACCTAGATACTCCCCAAAAGCCCCACCTCTAAATATCACCATATTGGGGTTAAGTGTTCAACATATGAATTTTGGTGGGGATACAAGCCACAGACCTTTAGTCTATAACAGGCCTCARGTTCAGTCTGAAGTCTGACTGGAAGCAAATGAGAAGTTCTAAATCTGTAACACAGGGGTGGGAACTCTACCCTGAAAACACTTACCCCCATTCCCGGTGGATGTTTTCTTTGGAATTTTTCCATTAACCTGACAATGAAACCATTGAGAATGGTTGAGTTGCATTCTATTTCTTGGTCTTATTGATTGTCCCCTTTCCTATAGTTTTTTGTTTACATTTATTTACTAATAAAAGTAAGAAAATGACCCATGTTGAAAGTATATTTTTTTCTGGTAATCAGAATAATAGTTTCAAATCACCTGTTACTTATGCTACATGATGTTCCAAGTTATTTTATATCTAAAAACAAGAAAAAAGTGTTAAATTGACTAGGAAAAAGAATTTGACATTTTTCTGGAATGCAACTTGTAAATATTTCACAGGATCACTGTTGTCTGAGAACTTTTGCATAGTAGTCATGGAAATTGGTATGTATTTAAATTAGAATGGTAAATCATAAATCCCGTGATAATATTATGCCTCCTTTAATGTTTATGAATAATCTAAAGATAATAAAATTTTATTTTTTAGTTTTTATTGATTATTTTGTGGTGCTAGGGATTGAATGCAAAGYCTCATGTTTGGCAATCCACTGAGCCATATGCTCAGGCCCCCRATTTTTATTTTAAAGAACAATTTGAAAGACTGTCTTTGGAAAGCAAATGTACCTATTTTCTCAAAATCTTCTTTGCAAATTGACTTCCCAAAACAGCATTGATAACAGATAATGGCAGGATTAAGAGTTGAGATGTTGAGTTGAGAATAAAAAATGTTGGTGGTCTTGTTCTTCCCAAGGTCATTAAATCTTGGGTGCATCAGAGACTATTGGAAATGATTATGAAAGTGAGTTTGAAGAGGTTTTTTTAATAGGAAATTTTCATTTTGTTCTTGATTGCTTGTCTTGGTTTCACATCAATATGTGACATTAAATAAGAAACTCTTCTACTGATGACATTCTATTCTATTATAGCAATTATTTATAAATATTATGACAGAAGTTATGAAGAAATAGGATACAAACAAGAGTCCAATATGTTTTTATAAAATATACTTTTCTTAAACCAAATATTTTATCAAAAATAGGGGGCAAACCTAAGGATTTTCCCTCTGTGGGTGTTTTATATCKCTCTTAGTACACAGATATAGATTATTCAAATTTATGGGTCTAATTATCCATTCATTTTTTGATGTTTGCTTTGTTCCTAAATGGAAGTTTTTATGTCTCTGCAATTATGCAAAGAATCGAAAATCACAAATTGTCAATATACTACAATATGACATTCACAAAAATTAGCAGTTATAGTTGTTTCATATACTCCATCATCCRTTTCAGAGATGGGGSTCCCTTTTTAGACATGAAACCTATAATTTTCTTTTTATCAAGAAGAAACATTATATTCTGTTAGTTCTGT